GGAGAAACTGCAGTCGGTGCTCTCTATGAGAAATGCAAATGTTAATAATTTTCAGCGATTTCGTGAACATTAATTTGTTGTATTTATATTTATATTCATATTTATATTTATATTTATATTTATATTTGTATTGTAGCTTAATATATATTTCATATATGTTTTATTTGCATGTTTTTGTAAAAATGGTTATTCTCTTTTCCTTGTTTATATTGTTTTTCTTGAGGTTACTTATGTTTTTATTCTAATTGAGTTTACAAAACACCTGTCCTAGTGTTGGCATGAACAGTCTCATGATTGATGTGCTATGTAAACAAAACAGTGGATTTAACATAGTCCATTTCAATGCGCGGAGTCTAAGCTCGGATAAAATGGATTATGTTAGCAGCACATTTGAGTTTTCATTAGTTGATGCCATTTGTGTTTCTGAAACATGGTTTGATGAGGTTTTATGTTACTCTTTTACTGTTGTATCAATTCTCACCGATCTAATGTTGTCAAGCCTTTTTTTGATGTAATTTCTTTACATGTTGTTAAGTATGATTCAGTTATAGCTTGTGGTGATTTTAATGCTAATCTGCTTGTAAAAGACTCTTATACTAATAATTTACTTGACAAGTCGTTCTCTCTCTGTGGACAACCGATCTCTTCCTACGCGGTTTGCAGTGAATTGCACTCCTAGTCTTCTTGACTACTTCATAATTTCTGACATAACTACTGTTTTAAAATTTGACCAATTAACTTTTGTATCTGGCCATGATCTCATTTTCTGCTGTTTGGACATAAATATCGATCGTTGTTGCATAAATAAGAGTATCTCATTTAGAGATTACCGCTATGTCAACACAAATTTACTTCTTTCTGAATTGTATGGTGTAGACTTGACCGAGTGTTGCGTATATCCATCTACCGATGAAAAGCTGAACTTCTTAATGGGAATTCTAAAGTTTGCTTTCAAGAGACATGTCCCCCTTCGTACAATCACTGATAAGCCTCTGTCCAGTCCATGCTTTACCACAAAATCTCTGAAATCAATTAAGTTACGAAATAAACGTGATTTATATGGGAAAAGAAACCCACGTTGGAGAATTGGAATGCCTTTGAATCGGCTCGAAACAGAGCGACACTTGTTATCAGAAATGAAAAACGAGTTTATTTTAACAAGAAACTAAATTCTGGTCTCTCAACAAAGGTTTTATGGCGTAACATTAAACGACTTGGTGTTCTTTGCTGTTAGTGAATGTGATGTTGCAATGTGTATATTTAAAATTTCATCCATTGCAATAGGGCATGATGGTTTACCAATTAAATTTATTAAAATTATACTACCTTGGATTCTTGGGACACTAACGCACATTATCAATCATTGTTCTACCACATCTTGTTTCCCAGAGCAATGGAAAATTGGCACTGTACTACCTGTCGCTAAAAAGAACCAATAAATATCCTCCCTGTATGTCTAAAGTTTTTGAAATGTTTTTGGCTGGCTAAGCTAATAAACGAATTTGTAAGAAAGCACAACTTTTCTAGTACTTTAAAGCTTGTGAAAAGCTACCTTCTCGACAGGTTTCAGTTAGTAAAAACTGGAGACGAGACATCTCAACTCAAGCCAGTTACTTCAGGGGTGCCTCAAGACTGCGTCCTTGGTCCCAGCTTTTCAGCATATTTATTAATGACATCTTTAGTATGTGCAAATTTTCAAACTTGCATGGTTATGCTGATGACATTCAGTTATATTTATCTGCACCTTTTGATCAGGCTAAAGAGCTATGTAAAAGCATTAATATTGACTTGGCTGATATCTCTAGCTGGGCGGCTGCCAGCGGTCTAATTTTAAATAAAAACAAGTGCTGTGTGCTGCCAATCAGTGCTAGAAAACTGACAAATCTGGATTTCTTGCCCCCAATATTCATAGACAATTGTCCCTTAAAATTTGTCAGCAAGATTAAAAACTTAGAATACATTATTAACTCTAATCTTACATGCACGGATCATGTAAACTCCATAGTTAGTAAGGTCTATCTCATTCTGAGGAATCTTATGCAGTCAGCTATCTATACACCTACTGCTACCAGACGCCGACTTGCTATACAAATTATTCTTCCGGTCATCATGTACTCTGAAGTCGTATACAGCAAACATGACAGTGTGTCTGCTCGTAAATTGATGTTATGTTTAATAATGTCACACGGTATGTGTTTGGTCTTTTCAAATATGAGCACATTTCGTCTTGGAAAGATCAGATATTGGGATGTACGATTGCGGACTATCATAAAGCCAGAAATTGTATTTTTCTTTGCAAACTCATTATGACTCAATCACCTAGTTATCTTTTTTCCAAGTTATCATTTACTCGGTCCGCCAGAGTAGGTAATATTATAATACCTTTTCATAAATCACAGCAATCATCAAGGCTGTCCTTTGTCAATGCTAGTCGATTGTGGAACTCCTCCCTGCGAATTTAAGGAGGAAATTATGCAGAAGCAATTTTAAGAATCGAATATATATGTATTTTAGAGGCCAAATTTCCTACATAGACTGCCCATTTAATAATTTTTTTTTAATTTTTGTCATACTCAGCTCATTATTTATTAAGTTTATTTTTGTTAATGTATCTGTAAAGTAATATTAACTTATTCTTTACACTATCTCTGTTGTACTAAAAAAGATATGGAAATCTTATTGTACTGATGCTTTGTTATTATTATTAAAAAAAAAAAAATAAATAAATAAAATATTAAAAAAAAGCAACAACATGTTTGTACTGTCAACATTGAACACGCTGCAAGAACGGGCTGATGGGTTCCCAAATACAGTGACACGATTTCGGGCAGCACTAACACATAAGCATTTTCCATGTTTTTATTTTTGTGTAGAACGCCATTTTTAACGTTTTCTTCGTAGCAGGTAGAAGTGAAAAGTGGAAAATTCAGCTAATGGAGCAGGTTGACTGGCGTTGACGCTTTTCACCTTGAATCAGCTGAGAGGTACAACTGCATATAGATATAAATAACATTCTGATTCGAACATTAATTTTTTATCTAAGTATAATGTCTTTAAAATTCAACGGAGTCGCGATTATGACGGAGGCGTTGGTAGAGCTTAGTATTTACGTCACCAACGCAATACAATATTTGGCAGATTTTTGAAAACGTGTTGTTAGGATTTTGCTAAACACATGGACACAATTTAGCATATCAAATATTGTGAAGAATCGTTATAATCTGCTAGGAAGAAATCAACTTGAATTTTTATATATGTATTTTGCTGTAATTTTCTTGCAGAAGTCTCCAAACCTCCAACTTTTGGATAGTATTTTAAAACAAATAATTTAAAGTTCAAACTGAAACCTCAAAATATACTTTCTAGAGAGCTCTTTCTGATGAACTAGCTTTAAAGAAAAATACCCTCTTTTCTAAGTCTTTGAGTTTCTGAGCTCGTCTTCAAAATTTGTAGTTTTTTTAATACTGACCAAGGTATATTTAACAATGTGAAGTTACTGCGGCAGTGGCTTTCGCTTTTTTTATTAAATTTTAGTTTTTGTTTTGCTTGCTTGAATTTTCGCATTTGTTTTTTTGACTTTGTAATTCAATTTTGTGCAAAAAAAAAAATAAAGTGGAGAGTTTGCTCGGTTCTTAAGACAATCTGCTGTTTGATTTTGTGTTGTTATATACAGATGTATATATATATATAATTGGCGCAGAGCGATTTTCGGCCGAGCTCCTCCTCCAATTTCCAGTTTTCTGTCTTAATTTTATTTCAACAAATGGAAGGACCCACAGAATATTCTACGCCGCCTCCGAACGGCTAATGATTTCTTTATGAAGAGCTTTATATAATATCATGTCAGAAATACACTCGGAGGGGTTGACATTCCCTGCCGAGAGTCGACCGCAATTACAAAATTTAACTTAATTTTTTATTTAAATTAATAAAATTAGTGATTTTGTGTTATTAGTTCTATAAAAAAAAACCAAAATGTGCAGGCATATTTTACGTCAAGAGTTCATTGAAAATTAAGAAAAATATGCAAAGAGGCGTATGTTAAGTTTGCAAGAAAAAATGATCCATTTAATTTGAAAGTTTGCGTCTTCATTCACCTTTTTTTGTCGTCCTGGCATATTTTCCATAATTAGTTTTAATTATTTACTTATGACTTAATAAACAAATAAACAAAACTTATTTATTTTGCTGTGCTTCTTCTCCCACTTCGATGTGAATATTCTTATTTTTACTTTACCAACAGGCAAATGTAATTTGACATGGACGAAAAAAGCAGTGCTGCCATTTTTTTTTTCAAACAATGTAACCTTTGAGCTAGAATATCAAATTCAATTTCGCGTAAAAAAAGTAAAAACAAAATTTAATTTACCGGTAACGGTGAGAATAGGCCTGTAAATGACAAAAATAAGTTTTAGTTCATTTTTTTTCAACACTTATTTTATTTTGTGCGAAACTATTTTAACAAACATATAGAGGAATCTGTTCAAGCTCAAACGCATTCAGATGACCAAAATACTTGAAATCGTTTTCATCATTCCAATAAGTGAATCCTTGAGCAATAATGCCTTCCACGTAACTCTTTTAATGAGAAATTGCTTCAACCAGTATCGGCTGTTTTAGATTTTCTATTTATGTTTTCTAACTTTACCTCACTCACTTTACCTGACAACGATTTGTCTGCCTGTGTGGGTGCAAGGTAAGTGGCTGTGGTACAAGAACAAAATATCACGATGTGCCGTTAATGCAATAAATTCAAATTCGAGATTCTTCACAATGAAAAAAGTGGAATACAAAATGACAAAAAAAGTGTTGAGCACAAATAGACGAGATATTATGAAAAGCCGTCTTAAGGCAGTTTTGGGAATTAGTGGTTTAATTAATGACCTCAGATTAGATTATTTAGATTATTTACTCACGTAAGCTGGGTTTACTAGACATTCATAATAAAATACATTTGACTCTAATATATACATGTGTATATACGTGTAGGTATCTTTATATGGTATTCACAAGTTTTATTAAATATATTTAAATTCCACAAACTTTTAACCTGCTGCAGTTTTCAGAAAACTAGCGCTAGCAGATAGCACTTTCGGTACATACATATATTTTGCACGATAACCATTACCGTCAGCCTCATAAATGACAACCACTTGAAACGGTGCATCGTTGTATACCAAGTCCAGATGACCCTTCACAGCTAGAAGTTTATTTCCGTTTTCATCTGTAATCACTTCCGCGTTTTCTTCGCGAAATCCACCCTCAGGCAAATCTAAACTATTGTTGAGGGAAAACCGGATTTAAATCAAATAAAATTTCAATTTTACGAATATTTTTAGCATACCGTAAATGGTAATTATCTCCATTTGGTGTGAGTTTATAGTATTCTTGGTCTATTTTTGGCAGCAAAGCTCCGATACTGGGCACGGCTTGTTGGTTCTGGCCACCAGCGAGAACGCCGAACAGCAGAAATAATGCGATTGTTAAGAGATTCATCTACAAATTAGAAGCAAATTATTTAATATTATACAGTCTATTGATATTAACATATATATGTATGTATCTTAACTAACCGCAAAAATGCCGGAATCTGAGTTGCTGTCCGGACCGTTCGATGCTGTGCGAGACACTGACTCTTCTTTTGGCTAAAACTGGCTTCATTAACGGATGCGAAACCATTGTGTTTGTATAAAAATTCAAACAAACAAACAGAAATCACAACATACACACCTATAAAACTAATGAGTATTTTATTCGCTGAAAGATTATTAAAATTATGATATTAACAATAGTGAAATACTTGCGAATGTCCATACATTTTTTTCTTAATAAATATTCATCGCTCATAGTGTATGCCGAATAATCAATCATCATGTTAAGTGCGTCTAAGATGAGTAAATTTTTGCGAATTCATGGAGTTTCTGAGTATTTTAAATAGTTTTTATGGCTATAAATTATAAATTTGTCTTCTGGTGGGTTAATGCTCTGAACTAAGAAAATATAAAGTTTTTCGTTAGCAGATTTACATATGTACATATATATATGTATGATATATATATATTTTTTAACTATTGCTTATTGGCGTTACCAATTACTCATTCATTAAATAAATAATACTGTTACGATTTTACTAAATCAACCTCGATAATTTTCTAGATCCTTCGGGTACGATCTCTGGATTGTTAAATAAAAACTCGCCAACTTAATTTGCAGTTTCTTTCGTTATAAAGAATTAATCTAATGTCCTTTATTT